TTGCTAGTAGGTTGGAGGCCATTGCTAGTAGGTTGGAGGCCATTGCTGTACAGGACACCTGTGGGCTAACAAGTGGAGTGCTTGGCTTTCCCAACTCGGGGCTCTTCTCCACCAGCTCCAACGACGTGATCTCAGTGCCTGTCTCGGCAGCGGGAGGCTTATACCGGCTTTGCTGGTGTGCCGAAAAGAAAGACATACCTGGGTACACTACCGATGCTTCTTCTTGTGCCACAGATTTTGGTTCCTTGCACTTGCTTGGGCCCTTACTGGAACAGCATAGCACCTGCGTCTCGGGGCAAAGCTGTCTTCTCCCCGACATGAGCTTCTTTGGTGGCACAGCAGGGCCCTCGATGACCCCTCTGCCCGGAAAGCTGGCAGTACTGGAGACCTGTGGCGTGGCCAGCCGAGTGAGAGGCTTTCCGCTGTCCCAGCTGCCGCTGTCAAATTCAGAGAATCCAATAGGAGACTTCTACAGTGATCAAATATCAACAGCTGGAGGCCAATATAGCCTTTGTTGGTGTGCTGCTACGCCTGGCCCTTGCTTGGAAGATGATGAATTCCTGGTCAGCGTTGGCCATATTTACATCATTGGCCCTCATCAACTGCTTCAGAAGACTTGCATCAGCGGCCAGAAGTGCAGACTCGATGGATTGCTGGGCACTTCCATCAGTGATGAAGACAGCTTGTTGATCGCTGACACGTGCGGCACGTACACCAGTCTCATTCCGCAAGCTGTCAATGCCGGCCTGGCCACGGAGCTGCCATCGGGTAAAATCGCCATGTGGGGCAGGGAGGCCATGACCAGCGCGGGTGGTCAATACCGCATGTGTTGGTGCTCACGACTTTCCCGATGCTCGGAGAGCACGGATTTCGTGACGGATATGGGGAGTCTCGTCATTGTAGGTCCCACACCTCTTCATCTCGAAAGGACATGCCTTGCAGGATTTGACTGCACCATTGACCTTGCAGGAAAGTATCTCTCGAATGGGGACCAGATGCTTTTATCAGAGACCTGTGGTGTAGCCTCGTCACCTGTGCCAGCATTTCAAGCAGTACACCTTACAGTGACGCTTGGATTTGGTGCGTTGGTGAGTTGGGACAATGACCTTGAGATGCCAGGCAGCTATCGCCTTTGCTGGTGCTCAACAGAGTCTCCGTGCTTGGTTGCGGAGGATTTCAAGACAGATGTCGGCATGCTCACAGTGGTAGGGCTTGGCCTGCAAGACAAGACTTGCGTCAGTGGTTTACCATGCAATATCGACATCTCTGAGAGCAGCATATCTCCCGAAGATCACTTCCTAGTCATGCAAACATGCGGAACCATCGACGGTGCCATTGATGGATTTCCTGGAGCGGTGTCCCAAGTGGGGTCCAACGAGGCTCTCCTGTCATGGGGAAGGTTTCTAGCACTTCCTGTCACGGCTGCAGGAGGTCTCTACCGACTTTGCTGGTGTCCTAGGCCAAACACTTTGTCGAAGTCACAAGAACTCGTGGCATCTTGTGGTGACTCGGCCCGGCCAACGGTGAGTCTTCCGTTTCTCCCGAATGCAATCACCTGAGATACCGCGAAATCGATTTGCTTAAAGAGTTCTCTTTCTGAGGGCTAACAAGCAAAAACAAGATAGGCAAACAGAAGAAAATACAAAGAAGGGAAAGGACCAAGCAATTAAGGCCAAAGTTTAAAGAAGGACGAACAAGAAAGAATGAAAGGCCCCGCCTGCACAGAAACATACCGCACATCATTTTTCAGTCACCTTTTGAGGCTATCTCAATTAATGCATTGTACGCGTTCGCCAACTCCATCCAACACCTCCTATGGAGCCAAGCCCGAGAGATGCACCACATCGACCAAGCCCGATAGCCGCTGCTTTGAAGCAGAACCCTTCGCCAACCAAGACAAAAAAGTCTCCGTAGGGGCGCAAAGGAATGAAAAAGGGAGGGGCAAAAGACTGTCTAAAGTTCTAAGATCATGCCAGGTTTTAGACAGTCTTTTCTGTTTAGAGTTCTAAAGTTTTTTTTGTCTCATGTAGGAAAACAAAAAACAAGAAGCACAGGCGAAAAGGTTCAACAAAGGCCCTCATTCTTCTTGGCGGCTTAGGTACTGCAGAGAGCTTTCGTATAACGGCGGGATCACTCACAGTGATTGGCCCACTGCAGCAACATCACCGGACATGCGTGAGTGGTCAAGTTTGCAGTTTCGGTGGCATCGAAGGCCAGCACTTGTCCTTGCAAAACAGAGTTCTTGTCCTGGAGACGTGTGCATCTGAGGTGCTGCAGGTGGGATTTCCATCTGCAGGGTATGTGACTGGTGTGTTTGCAAGTGGAGGGTCTGTCAGTTGGGGGAATACGAGACTATCAGCTGCTGGTGGGCAGTACAGATTGTGTTGGTGTGATGCAAATGCCTCCCCTTGCAGTCTACCTCGCAGCTTTGCTACTGACTTCGGTTCGCTGACTGTGGTGGGAGTTTCGCCGCTGGAGCAAACCCGCACCTGTGTGAGCGGGCAACATTGTTCTGTTCAGGGCCTTACAGGCCATCATTTGTCGCGTGGCGATTCATGGATGGCCATGGACACCTGTGGCGAGCTCACTTTCATTCCACGATTTGCCTTCGCTGGATTCAGCTATGAAGTCTCTGCTTCTGGTAGTTTCATCACTTGGGGTCCAGTGGCCCCCACAGCAGCTGGCGGACAATACAGACTTTGCTGGTGTAGTGCAGGCTTTGAGTGTTTGTCAGGAGAGGACTTTGTTGTGGATGCAGGTTCGCTTGTTTTGCTTGGGATCAACCCAATCACACAGGACAGAACCTGTGTCAGCGGACACACTTGTTTCCTTGGCGGACTTCAAGGCATTTTCCCAGACATCAACACTGACATTGCCCAACAAAGCTCTTTGCTTGTATTGGACACGTGCGGGCTTCCAAGCAGCATCGCCCGTTTCAGCGACGCTGGTCTACTTAGCCAAGTTTCAAGCTCTAGCATTGGTGGTTCTACTGCATATGAAGCAACTGTGGCAATCACGACAGCAGGAGGAATGTACCGACTCTGTTGGTGCACTGGCCTGGGCTTGTGTGATATACCCGAGAACTACCAAGTTGACATTGGCACGCTATTCGTGTTAGGTCCTTCACCCCTTTCCCAAGAATGGACATGTATCAGCGGGCAGACGTGCAGACTCTATGGAATCAACGGACAAGGACTGCAAGATACACATCAATTTGCAGTGCTCGATACCTGCGGAACAGGGAGCGTGCCAGATCGCTTTCCATCTGCAGGAATACTGCATGCTGATTTGTCTGCGTCCGGTGAATTGGTCTTATCCTTCGGAGCAGAAAGCATTACAGCAGCATCATCAGAGTATCGTCTGTGCTGGTGTTCTTCACTTGATTCCACCTTTTGCACGCGTGGCGATTTTGCATCCACAGACTTTGGCAAACTCACCATCCTTGGGCCCGGTCCGCTTCATCAGGATATGACATGCATTTCGGGTCAGACTTGCAGACTCAGTGGAGTTTTTGGTGCAGGTATGATGAGCGGAGATTCCTTCATTGTCCAAGACACCTGCGGGCTTGCGGACAGTCTTCCAGGATTTCCGCACACAGGTCTTGTCACACTCACTGATCAAGCTTCAACTGCTGTAGAGTGGAGCAATACTCCTGTGACTTCCGCAGGAGGACTCTACCGGCTTTGTTGGTGCTCAGAGCTTGCCCCGATGGGGTGTTCAAGTGCTCGAGAGTTCGT